TAAGTAATGGTCACTACTGCTGAGGGTCAGCTCCAACCTCCATAATCTCCCAGAATGCTCTTCCCATCAGTGTTTACAGTAGGGAGTCAAGGGGGACAGAGGCCTGGGGTGAGTGGAAAGGCGCCTTCCCTCCCCGCCCCCCATGCTACCTGCCCAGCAGAGGTTTGCTTCTCTCTGACATTGCTATTCTTATCCTGTGACTACATCTCCAGTTACTGGCGATCAATAGGGACAGGAGGTTTATGAAAAAGGCAGGGAGGCAAGAGAGGAGGCGGGGCCAAGGGATGTGTGTGGAGAAGACCAGGTGGGCGTGCCCCAGAGCCCACAGAGAGAGCTGCCTACAGGCTCAGTGAGGACTCTGGGATCAAACAGGTCCCCTCCTTCTCAAGGGTTTTGGACTCCTCCAGGGCAAAAGAGGACAGAACCCAGCCCACTCTGGCCACGAGATTGCTAAGCAGGGAGCCCACTCCTTCTCTGCCCCTGGTGTATGAGGGCCCAGTGTGGCAGTTTCCTTGGAGCCTCTAAGAGTTTTCTGGGTAGAAAAGTCTGTTTACAGGGTAAGCCCAAGTAGTAGGAATTAGGTGACCTCCACTTCCTGTTGATTCCCAGACCTGGTGGGTAGCAACCCTCAGTGTGTCGGCCCTGCCAGTATGTTTGCTGTCACCACTGCAAGGGGGCCCTGGGGTGTCAGTGCTGGACTGCAGGGAATCCAAAGACTTTGGGAGGCAGTGCTGGTATTTTAAAGAGCAAGAGACCTCATGCTAGTGCCTGACTGTGCCTTTTCTCTCTTTTGCTGCTAGGTTATAAGGGCCTGGCTGCATTTCTCCACAGGCTTCTCTCTTCCCTATTGGTTCTGAAGACACTGCCCCTCTCTCTCCCAGTGCTTCTGAGCCCCGGGGGCCATTTGGATTTGCAAACCCTGCTAACCCAAAAGCAAACCTCCTCTTGCCTTTGCTAGGTGTCAAGACCTGGGCTGGGTGTGACCAAGACATCCTCCTCAGCAGCCCCATCTTTGTCCCTGGTGTCTTTCTCCCCTGCCACCTGAGGGAAGGAAGGGGACATACTATAACATTGTCACTTCGTCAGCAGCTCTAACACCGGGGAGATTATGCCTGTGGCTCCATACTGCAGATGAGGAACCTGAGGCTCAGGCAAATTTCCATTTGGCAACTCACTTCCTGGAGACTCCTCTCTCCCCAGCACACTGGAGGGACTTTTCAAGGACCTCTCTGATACCTGTCGAGTGAAAGCCAAAATGTGGTGGATCTTACCATATAAAACTCCCCTGGAAACTTAGGATGAAGCTTGGGCTGTTGGGACAGGCTTTATGTCCCTGTTCCACACGAGTCTGGATGATCTCCTCCCTCCCCCTCCAGTGCAGATTTTGGCTCACATCCCCTGCAGTTTCAAGCCAGTCTCTCCTGCCCAGACTCTGTACCTGAGCTCCCCCACATGCAGGAGAAAATAGCTCCCGTCTCCTTCTAGCCTTCCAGGAATGGGCCCCTGGAGACTGGGTGGCAGGGAGGCCGAACCCCAGGGTGCTGGTGGATGGATTTCACTCTTAGCTACCCATGCAATCCTTCTGTTGCAGCTTGGCACACCTCTTGTGCCCACCTGTATTAGCTCCTTATTCCCAGAGATCACACCAGGTGCCTCTGCCTCCTGATCCCATCCTCCAGCCACCTGAGCCCTCCTTGGAGATGTAATTGCTGATGTGTGCAGAGCATGGAACCACCAGCAAGACAAAGAACTCTAGACTTGGGAGAGGAGGAGGGGACATTGTCTTGTGGTGCATATTCCTTCAGTACTGAAGGATGAAGTCAGAACTAGAATGGGAACCCAGGAGACCATGAGGCCAGAGCCTCACTAGAGAAAGTGGTGTGAGGCTTGCTTGACCTTGAACTAGTCTGGACTGGGATCCTGGCTGGCTGACATTTAGCTCAGCTGAGAAAACAGGATGCCGAGAGTGCAGGGTGAGCGCTATGGGCCAGGATCAAGTGCTGGTTGCTGGATGTTCCAACCTGGGCTTGTGGGCTCTCCCACTCTCAATACCAACTTGTTGGTTATTTGTGGTTATTTTGTTGGCAGGTCAGGGAAGGAAGGTGAGAAAGCCCTAGAGCCTGAGACCACTGGAAACTTCAGGCGCACCCTCTGTTGGCTCACAAACTTGCCTCATGACATCTAACTAGACCTAATTAATCAATAACCAAGCTGCTGCTTTCTTGCCAACCAGACACCTGAAGAGTACTTATTCTGTCTGAATTGATTGCCACACTCCTGCTACCATGATAGAGAATCCCTGTGCCCACAAAGGCTGTGTGCCAAATGAGTGCTGGGACTGCCCTGCCACCTCACCTCCCTGCCACCCTGCCATGGAGACAGTGGTTCCTAGTGGTCCTGGTCTTGTCATAGATGGAAAGGAAAAGACTAGAGAGGGGTGTGGAGGGGTGTGGCTTGAGGGGTGTGGAGGGGTGTGGCTTGAGGGATGTGGAGGGGTGTGGCTTGAACCAGGTTACAAGAGACATACTACCCTGCTGGGCTCTAGGTGTATTCTGGTCCTGACTGGCACCATCACAGGAGGGAGCCCTCAGTCCTCTAAGGCAGAGTCTTGGATATACTGGAGACAAGGGTCCCTTGTAGCAGTGGACAAAGAAAGCAGGCTAGGGTCCTGAGGGCCTGGGGACGTGGGTGCTACATCAATGCTAAAATGTGTGGGCCTGTGTTTCCTACCACGATGTCTGATGTGTTAGGTTGTTGACAACGTTTAGAATCACCTGTGTGAATTATCTTTTTGTTCTGTTTTTTTAAGACAAGGTCTCTCTATGTATACTCCTTAAATAGGTGAGGCTGGACTCAGACTCACAGAGATCCACTTCCCTCTGCCTCCTGAGTGCTGGGATTAAAGGTGTGCGCCACCGTGAGCATCTGTGGGGTTATCTTGTTCCTGTCAACTGAGATGTCACTGTGAGTAACAGCCACTCCCTGCCTGGGATCCTGGATGCTGAAGTGGAGAAAGGGAGCTGAGAAGCAGCCTGCACATTGCTATCTGCAATGTCCCTATCTGGGACATGATTGACAGACAGCAGTGGTTCTCAACCTGTGGGTGTCAAAGAACCCTTTCACAGGGGTCACCTATGACTATTGGAAAAAACAGATATTTACATTACAAGTTAGAACAGAAGCAAAAACACAGCTATGACGTATCAAAGAAAACAACTTTATGGCTGGGGAATCACCATAACATGAGGAACTATATTGAAGGGTCACAGCATTAGGAAGGTTGAGAATCACTGCTCTACCTTTAACCTTTAACCTTTCCACCATGATGAACTCTACTTTAAATCAAAGTAAACCCTCTCTTCCTCAAGTTGCTTTTTGTCAGGGTTCTTAAAAATCTTTTAAAGGTTTATTTATTTTTATGTGTATAAATGTTTTGCCTGCCTGTATGTATGTGCTCATGTAGGTCAGCAGAGGGCGTCAGATCCCCTAGAAATGGAGTTATGGGTGGTCATGAGTCACTGTGTGGATGCTGAGAACCAAACCCGAGTCCTCTGCAAGAGCAATGAGTGTTCTTAACTGCTGATGGGCCCGCCAGCTCCTTTTCAGGGCATTTTATCACAGTAATGGGGTTGGAAGGAGAACCATCTTTCAGTGGCTTCCAGAACATTCTAGATTTGAAATGTTCTGTCCCAAGTAGGTAAGAACCATAAATCACAGACAGCCACAGAACAGGCCACAAATGTGCACCTGCCTCTGTCTTTCTGCCAGTTTTGAACCTGACCCTAGTTCCTGACTGGCTTACCTCTGTCTCCATTCCTGGAATCCACATACAGTATCAACAAGAAAGAAATGCATGCAAACACAGCCTCAATAGAGTGCCACCCACCCCATCCCATCTCACCCCAGCACACCCCAACACACCCAACATACCCCACCCCACCCCAGCCCACTGGGCCAGCACACTCCAGGCAGAGGGATGGAACTGGCTCCAGGCTTTCCTCGCTCCACGCCTCCACACCCTTCTTCCCAATCCTGGTCAAAATATGAAAATACATGTTTTGCATGTTGTGTGTTTTCTAAAAGTGGGATGTGGCGGTAGGCAAATGGGATGGAAATATTGCAAATATAGTCTCTGTATAAATTTCTCAAAAAACAAAAACAAAAACAAAACAATAGCAAAAAGAAAAACCACCCTAATCAGACACATGGGGCAGCTAATGGCTTTTCCCCGTGTCAGGAGCTACATTCTAGGCAGCACAGAGCCTGCGACAGAGAGACATATAAAGGCCCCTTCAACACCCCCAGGCCTCACACTGCCCTCTGCCAGCCTGCTCCAGCCCTCTGATGACATTCCTTTGGCTAGCATTCATTTTATTCAATCCTTATTTTTTTTAAGCATTTATTGCATGCTGGGCACTGCTGTGAGCTCTTTGCCAAGTCTGACTCATCTAAGCGCCCTGAGGTCCAGAGGGAAGCAGACTCAGCTTCTCCGTCCCACAGGTGGCTTGGGAACGAGGATCTCTTGTAAAGCCTACATGGTATCTATTAATGGACTACGTTCTCGGATGGTGCAGAACCTTCTGCCTTCCAGACATTTAACACCTGCACAAGCTCCCCCAATTACGGCAAAGCTTGAGTGTCTTGACTGCACAGGCAGTCCTTTGATGTAGCACCAGGTGACATCTGAGGGAGGTGACTTCTTGAAGCCAGGTGGCATCCTGAGAATAAGGTGATACCTAGGTACCAGGTTGACATAAACATTCTAGGAGCAAGGAGACAAACCGGGTGTCAGGTGACATCCCAAGAAAGAGGTGATCTCTAGGTTCCCAGGTGACATCCCAAATATCAGATAACAACCCCAGGAACCAGGTGACATCCCTAGAACCAGGTGATATCTCAAATAGCATATAATATCCTTCAAAACCAGATATTCCTAGAGACATCCATCAGGTGACAACATTCCAGGAAACAGCTGACATCCCAGTGGCCCTGGGTCTTACCTGCCGATGACTTCGATATTGGAGATGGCATAGAAGTATTTATAGAGGTTCTCTCGCTGCACATAGGTGCCGCCTAGCGCGGGACGCAGCAGGCGCATGCGCAGGTCAGTGAAAGTGAAGAACTCCTTGAGGCCCTTGGCGCTCTCCATCCTCGTGTACAGGTTGTCCATGTTACGCAGGTCAGGGCCAGCGAAGATGGCAAAGCGGTCCCTTACCTCAAAGCGCACATGTTTTTCTTTCTTGGACCCTGCCCAGCGTGAGTACTCCTCGGTGCAGAGCACCCGGTGGGCGCTGGAGGGTGACATGTCTCGGGCGCGGCGGGCAGACATGCCGAAGGCCTCCATGCAGTCCTCTGCATAGAACTGGTAGGGCTGCCAGGTGCGCCCATTGTCCAGGGACTTCTCGAGGACCATGACCGTGGGCCGGCCATACTCGAAAGTCATCACCACGTCGTCTGTCAACTCCACGCTCTTGTTCCATGAGAGGGTGATGTTGGCCTCCAGCGGACTGGGGTAGCGACTCCATGTGACGCTTTGCCAGTAGGTGGCCAGTCCCTCATCTTCCCTGTCAAACATCAGCCGGGGTGGGTGGGCCAGGTCCGGGTTGGAGGCATCACACTCGTTACTGCACAGGTAAGGGTTCTCCTGCAGAGGAAGGGAGTCTGTCAGGAAGTAGATGCTGGTCAATGGAAGGGGCCTGTGGTGTGCTCGCCCTGTGCCTAGGCTAGACATCTACTAGCCATCACCAAGCCCTGGATGCAGGAGTGGAAAGTGCCTGTCCCCCACAGACACCTGTCCCCCACAGACAGCAGATGCATGATAATAAGATAATGGGGCAGGGGTCTTAGGTATTCTGCACTTTCTACTGTGTGTTCTATAAGCCCATAACTGTTCTAGATGGTAGGCCATAATTATCAAACAACAGACCTTGCCACTGACAGCCTCACAGTGCCCCAGTCCACACGGCCACTTTGATGAATATTTCAGGTGTTTGTGCAGAGACAAAGTAGCTTGGATCTGAGTTAAAAACCTCTCGCTCTCTAATGAGCCATGAGGCCCCTGAGGGGGTGGACACATTGCCACCATCCCCTGGCCACCTCAGCCAGAAACACTGCAGTCACCCACTGGCTATGGGCTTTGATCCTCCACATGCCAGGGCTGGTACCCAGGCAGTCTAGGGCTGCACTGTGGGCGCAGCTAGCCCAGGGGTTCACTAAGGTAGGACCCACAAAGCCCTGACCCACCAAAATAGCTCTGTCCTTCACACCCTGTGGTGCCAATGTCCACCCCACCTGCCTGTCCCTGATGATGGGTGAGGCCTGAAACCTTGGGGGTACAAGGAGTTTCTCACCAGTATAGCACCTAATTGCTGAATGGGAAACTGAGGCCCAGGGAAGGCAAGACAAACCAGGTCTTCTCAGAGGATTTGGGGGTGCTTCTGAAAAGAAAGCCCTCTCCACACCCCTCTTTTCTCACCCTCCCTCTTCTCTGCTCTCCTCTCATTCTGCTTTCCTCCCTGCCACCTGCCTTCTTTCCTTTCCCCAGCCCTACACTGCGTCTGTGTTTCACAAATCACAAGGACAAAGGAGGAGCTTTTTGTGACTTTCACTGGTGACTCTGAATCACCAGTGACTTGTCTCATGCCTAGTCCTGAATGGGAAGAATCTGACTGACTCCCATAGGCTCCATGACAAGCAGAGGCCAAGCCCAGTGACCAGGAGAAGGCAACAGACTGCGGCTGGCTGACCAGGAGGTCACCCTGCCACCCTCTGCTCCAGGTAGCATGAGGGAAACATGGAGCCCAGGCAGAGAACACCTGCTTGTGTACTGGGATGGCAGACACACCCTTAGAGTTTGTGCACGAAAGAGGGAGCTGGAGGACAGCGTGACTCAGGCTGGGTACTCTCCTTCTCAGAGGCTCAACCTTGTCCTCTCAAATTCCGACGTTAATGCCTAACCCTCAGCAACCTCTAAAGCCAGTAGGCTGTGTTTTGGGGCAGTCTCTACAGAGTTGAAGGAGGCCTTCAAGTGGTCCTTCTCCTTTTGGGAAAGGCTCTTGAATAAGCACAGAAAAAGAACACACACGGAAACACCAGGGGCATATGTTCATGTGCTCACGCGCGCACGCACACACACACACACACACACACACACAAAACAAAACAAAACAAAACAAAACAAAACACCAAGGCCATGAGACACAGAGAGAGGTGGCCACATCACCACATAGAGTGAAGCTGCAGGAGGCAGTACACCTCCAGCACCTCGGTCTCGAACTGGTGGGACAGCAAATGTCTACTGGAGATGTCAGCTCCTGGCAGGCTCATCCCAGTGAGCCAAGCCGGAGGGGAAGTAGCTCAGAGAGGTGTTACTGACCCTGGGTTTCCCAGGGTGTCCTCGGAGATACCTCTTCCATAAGCTTGTTTCTTTTCTTTTCCTTTTTTTTTTAAACCCACCTCACTTCTGAAAGTCTGATCCCTTGGTAATTGTATTAATGTCTCCCCATCATATACCAACTGTCAATATTCCTGACACACACATCCCCCACTTGTGAGTCACCATATATCACCTTTTGCTGGATCCATCCTTTCCAGCCCCCTGCCTTACCCACCCCTAGCCTGCTACTGGTCCTTGGGCTAGGGGGTGGGGGTCACAGGGTTCCTCAAAGCCATCAGTTGTTCCCGGCCTCTTACCATTGAATAAGGATAATGGGGCTCTGCCAGGGGCTGGGGACTCCAGCCTGATTAAGGATCCATGCTGCCCAACCTGCAGGGCCCTGCCAGCCCCCTACCCCAGCCCCTAGGAAGCAGATGGTGAGCCACTAATGAATGAGCCTGTGTATTTACCAGCCTCATGCCGGCTGCAGAGGAGGCTTTGCCAGCCATGAGCACAGCAAATGGTCCTAAGCCATGACCAGCACATCCCTGCCAGCTTCTCCACACACCTCACAGCCACCCCAGGATCTCCAGATCCTGCACCACCAAGGAGGGCACCCCAAGGCATGGGCTGTGTCCTTGCTGAGCCTGCTTCTTTCTGAACTCATTTGCTCCTCAAGCCACACTCTATAGGGGTGTTCCAGCCAGCCCTGTCCCCACCCAAGTACAACAGCTGAGGACAGTGGGAGGCAATAGTGGCTTTGCCAGCCTTCTGGGTCTCTAGGATCGAAGACTACAGAGCAGGTTACATGTTAATGAAAACAGCCAGATGAAATGGCCTGACAAGGACAGCCAACGCTGGACGAATTTTGAGCACACTTCTACCTTGCAGAAGGGATCTCAGGCTAAGCACTGATGCTTTCAAAACTAGCACCTGATTCTCTGACCATTTAATGATCAGCACCCCAAAACAAAACAAGTGTACACACCTCTTATTTTAAAAGCCTTAGGTTCTTGGGGCGTGGTTCAGTCGGCAAAGTGCTTGCTGCAGAGACTTAAGTTGAAGACTCAAAACCCAGCTCAAAACCTTGCCAGCTGTGGCGCTGGGTGAGTTAGCCTGGGAAACACTGGAGAGCTGGTCCTGGTGGTGGAGGGCTACAGTCGGTGAAGTGCATGAGAGCTGGTGGGTTGACCAGGCTCTGACCCAGGGCTTTGAGCTGTCCCATCCCAACATCTATACCATCTACGAGCTGCTGGAGTGTGTAAAGGGGCCTGTCCTGCAGATCCAAGCTGCAGGATCTCCACGACACAGGACAATAGGCTTTCCAAGAGGAGTTTCCGAGAGGATTCAGTATTGATGGTGTAGCAGAAGCCAGAGGCCTTGAACCAGACCAATGCCTCATTGCAATGAACATTTGCAAGTGAAGGTGTGTGAACAAGAGGGTGCACTGTGGGACCGCTGTGACACGTAGCAGCTTCCTTGGTGAGATGTTTTGTTCTTTTTTTTTTTTTTCTTTTTGTTGGGGAGGACCAGGGGGATGAGTGGGGTTGGGATGCATGATGTAAAATTCACAAAGAATCAATAAAAAGTTAAAAAAGAAAAAAAATCCAGGTGACATGGTACACTTAAAACTCTAATACTGTGGTGGCTGAGGCAGAAATATCCACAGGGCTCATCAGCCAGCTGAGCTTGACTGGATAGTTCTGGGCCAATGAGACACTGTGCCTCAAAACCAAGGTGTAGAGTGCATAAGGAATGACACCTAAGGTTGACCTCTGGCCTCTATTCATATATGCATACAAAAACATGCACACATACACAAAGTCTTGGCGTTGCCCCCTCCCGCCAACATTGCAGTCACCCACCACACACATTTCCCATATAATTTCTAGGGGCCCTCTCTGGACTAAGGGTTAGAATTCCCTGTTTAGGTCTGAGGCCATTAAGGAAACTGTTTTTTTGGTCTAAAAACCCTAAGCTCAGCTTACACTATCTTCTAGGGATTCTGTAACCTTGAGAAAGCCATGTGACTTTTCTGAGCTTCTATTTCCTTGTCCTGTGTTCTGTGAGATAGTGTTTGAGAAACCGGGGAGATGTCACCATACAGTAGTGACAGTTATACACAGCCGAGTTGTGCATGTCAGCTGGAGTGGGAAGGAGATGAAGGTAGAGGCTGGGAGATGCTGAGAACCCAGGGACTCCATGGCACAGACTACCCTGAACACAGACTGCTTTAGTGACAGCTAGCCCAGAGGACCACAGTGATGGTGGGATCAGGGACAGATGCTGTTGCTATGGTCACTGAGCATATACCAACCCAATGTCACTTCCCCTGGAGATGATGGGACTGACCTTGGAGAATCCTGGGGAAGCTGAGCTCAGCATCTCTTCTGTTTTCCTGTTTCCACACACCCCAAGCAAGTCACCTGGAAGGTAGGCGGTACAGCAGCCCTGAACCAAGCAGCACGTGCCAGGCAAACTCCGGGTCAAACACATCATGGAACAGGAAGTGACCTGCCATCCAGCAGGGCAACCCTTATTGGGGAAGGTTCAGCCATGTCAGTCTCCTCATAGGCCTCTCAGGTCATGACCAGCCCATGTTCAAGGTGTGTCATGGCTTCATCTTCTCACTCACACAAGCAACACCAGCACAAGAAGGTCCTTACCGTGCAAGCCTGCTGAGCAGAGATCAAACCCCATAACCCACATGAAGGAGAGAGCAACTTCATGAAGTTCTCCTCCGACCTTGCCACAGAACATATATCCTCCACCTCATCATGCACTCACCTACACAATAATACCAAATAAATAAAACTTTAAGCTATTGTAAGAATACACAGGCTCACCCACTCCTAGTCCTTATGAAGGCACACATGTCACATAAAACCAAAACTAAACACATCTTTTCTCTTTTTAATCTGTTTTTCTTACTTTCTCCCTTTCTTCTTTCCTCCCTTCCTTCCTCCCCTCCTTCTTCCTGGTGCTGGGGATGAATTCGGGACTTGTGTACACTACACAAGTGTTCTAAGGCTGGCCCACAACTCCACACTCCTGAGCTTTTCTGTAAAATCGTTTGTTTGTTTATGTGTATGGGTGTTTTGACTACATATATATCTGTGTACCATGCACATGCCTGTTGTCCATGGAAGCCAGAAGAAGACATCGACACCCTAGAATTGGAGTTGGAAATGCTTGTGGGATTCTATGTGGTGCTGAGAATCAAACCCGAGTCTTCTGGAAAATCAGCCAGTGTGTATAAGCCCGGAGTT